GAGAGGTGACCGAAAGCGGGGGGACCTCGTGTGTGTTTATCTTATTTCATTTGTGTTCTATTTTATTTTAAGGCTCGAGGGTGGGACGGGGAGGCCCGGCGCCTTTCCGAGGGCTGGCAGCGCACAATGAAGTGCTGGGGTTGAATTTCCCCCCCAACGGCGCCTGCCCGGACAAAGATAACAGAAAAGCTAGCTCGGTGTTTATAAGTGTGTGATCCCTGCAGGGCAGGTGGTGCCGTTCTTAACTTTTTAATCTCCTTGATAGACATTTTGCAGTTTCTTCTTTGTTTTGGGCTTTGTTCTGTGTATTTCATAACCCCAGAGCCTTGATTTCTTGAAAGAAAGCGACGTGCTCGGGACACTTTCTGTGTTCTTGTGGCTCGGCGTTCGAAGCAAGATGGCTTAACCCCGAAGCACGTAGCGTGTTTTGTCCGTGATGCGATAAGGAAGGTTTTATCAGCTGACTTTGGGATGCTGCTTCCGACGGTGAAGCCGCACATAGGCTATGTAGGTCAGAGCCACTGAGCTTCAGGAAAACTTCTTATACTGCCTAATTGTTTGTTATTTGTATGCCACATTAGGAAAATATTTTTAGATTTTTAGTTTCGCTTTTATTGATGGTCTTTGTTGCCTCTCCGCTGGAAGGTCAGGTTTTTTTAGTTACTATGAGTTGAGGGTATAGGTCTTGGGCTATATGCAATGTGAATGCATTTGAAATATAATTACTCCTCCATGTTACCATTTTTACACAAAAGACCTACTATTTTGAAGCCTTTGTTATATTTAGCCATGTCTGGGTTTAAAAGCAAATGTTGCCAGTAGTTGCAGTTTTGTTGAGAGGCTGAGGGAATGATTTCATACCCTTCTTTGGTCTGCAGCTCCATTTGTGCTGGTGCGAGTATAAATATGTTGGGTAGGTGAGAAAAGCAAACTAGAATAAATAGGAGGATGATAATTCTGTGATGGTGTAGTCTGGGTTGTGTGCATGTGTAGCAGCAACACTAAATCACCTGACAGTTGTCTGAATTGTTTAGAAAGTTGAAAAGTTGGAATTTGCCCTTACGGAACTGTTGGCAAGTTAATGTGAGAAACCAAATGATTATGTAGATTTTTTGCAGTTATGTGGATATTGCATATAGAAAAGTATTTGAATATTATTTTTCTGCATTAATAGAGACTTTTTTCTACAATATTGTTGTATAGCATTTTTATTTTTTTTCCACATATGTTAGGGATATTGGTGCAATGATGAGATAATTATAATTACTGAAAAGCGAGAAACAATGTATTTTTCAGTTAATAGTGGAAGAGGTGGTTGGCAGAAAATTTCGGGCTTCCCTATCTTTCAAACAATAAGTCAGATTATGTTGCATTGTGTATAGAAAACCTAATGACATAGAAGTGTTGTGTGGGTCTTCATGATTTGCTGTTTGGAGAGTATCTTTGCACTGTTTTCATTGGGCTATACATTATGGATGCTTGGTGCAAATAAGTTAACAGATCATCAGCTTATTGAATACTATATGCTAGATTTGTTATTTTTTTAACAACTTCTTGCAGATTATTTTTAGATCTTTTTATTCTTGATTTAATGATTTCTGTGTGTGTTTTGAATAATTTGCATGTTTATAGTTTTTAGAAAAACTTTCTTGATAATTTCATCCTTTTTGTTTGTATAGTGTTTCTAACCTCCCCCTCACCAAATGATTAGATCAAGTTCTTATATACAGAGGCAAGTAATCCAGTAAATGGTTCAACTTTGTGCCTTCATTTTTGTTTTTCTTTTTTTAAATGTGGAGTTATATTTAAAAGTCACTATCTGTTAGAATAAAAAATCTGCCTTGGGTGTTAAATGCTTCATTTGTTGGAGTCTCCTGTGAAGCAAGCTTTAATATATTGTATTCTCTTAAAACAGCTTCTATTAGAAATACCACAGAGGAAACTGCATAAAGCTGTAGAGTAGGCATGCTTTGTAGTTACTGTTATGTGTAGAGGAATGTGAAAGCTATCAATCATCTTTCTGTTCAATACATTTATTTTAAAATGCTTACCTCATCTAATGTGAATTTTCCCTACCCATAACATAGCTGTTGTCTTGATTCTTCCACACAATGAGACCGTTCCAGTATTGTCACAAAGCCAGTGCCCAGGCTCTTGTCACAGAAATGGGACAAGAAGTCTTTCGCTTAAAAGCTTATTTTCTCCTCCTGTAACAACAAATGCCACTTGTGAAGTGCTTCTGAGAATGAAGTCTGAGGCATTTTACAGTCATGGAGTAGAAAATAGTTTTGAGTAACATTAGATCATTTAAATAGGCTCAATTTAACTACTTTTTCAAGAAAGCTGTATAAAATGTGTTTTGTAATGATGGTTTTGTGCTTCTGAAACTTTATAGCAAGATTTAGTTCAACTCCCCTCAGAATACCTTCTGTGGCCTTTAGAAGAGCGAGCAAAAACTTTTCAAGCTTGTATGTAAAATATTTAGTTTATAAATCAAAACCTGTGAAATATCTTTATTATATCGATGTCTAAATATCTATGTCATCTGTGAAATATCTTTAAAGAGTGTACTTTGGTTAACTCGTTCTCACACACACATCCCCTTCGCCCTGCCCCAACCATGGCTATTTGAGAACCATTATGTATGTAGAGAAGGAACATATTTGCAGAACTTATGAGCAATCATCTTAAGATCTGAAAGAAAAATGTAAAGCTAAAATGTAGCAGGAGTGTACTAATCTGTATTTGAAATTTTTGTTAGTACACACCAATTCCAATGGTTAAACCCCAGGTTAAAATTTGGAATGGCAATATGATCCTCTATCCTTTATAGGCTGTAGTAATATCATATGTGCAGCTTTTTTTACAGATTTTTTTTTTTTTAACAATGTATATATCTGCATACTGGCACAATTAATCTGATGTACCTTTTCTAAGTTTCAGTAATTATTTTTCACTAGTAGTCATAATTCTCAGATAGGTTGCCTTCTGCTTCATCAGTACTACTGAGGTGTTGGCAAAACTCTTGATTACAGGCAACAGCTCTGATTGTGTTTCTCTCCACTATACAGAAAGCTCTGTGCTCTCCATATGTAAATGTAATGGAGAAATAAAAGTTGCCCGAGATCTCTGTGCTTTGAGTTCATCCATCCACTGTACTTTAGGGAAGAATTTTAATACTGATGTATTGTACTAGTTGTATATGTTTTTCTGCTTTATTATGCAGTTGTTCTAAAATTTTACATGACGTCTGCTTGCAAATCTTTTTAAATGAGAAATTAATTTGCACAACTGGATTGGTGTAGTTAGTTCCAGGAGTCTTTAAATGTGCGTACTTTATTGTTTAAATATAAAGGCAGGCTTAGTGGAGGTGACTTTCTGTAGCTCATGTTAAAAGAATCTTAGTGTTTTGATTGATAATTTTTAAGCAGGTTCCTGTTAATCTCCATTGCTACGTTTTGTTTAAAGATTAATTCTGCGACTGTCATGTAGTCTAAAGCAGTAGTAAATCTAGTATATTAGGACCGTAAGGCATATATCCCATAACAATACAAATTAAACAAATAGCTTTAGATTTTACATATTACTCACAAAATTAAGATTGTTCTGGATTGTGAAAAAGAGTCCTCCTGCCTCATTCGATGCTCACGTACCTTCCCCCCTGTTGATTGAGCATGGGGTCATTCGGGCTAGATGTGAAGTGTGTGTGTGTTAAGGAACAGAGGACTGTAGCTTCCTTTTCTCTACCTTTTCAGATCTAAACATTTTGTTCTGGTTAAATATCTTTGCATGTATTAGTTTTTATTGTTTAGATTTAGTTTTCTTGTTTAGCATGAAAAGTGAAGACATGTCTTGAAGTTGAAAATTAAAGTATCTCTGGTGTTCTTTTTTCCCCTGAAAATGATTCATAAATATTGTAGAGGATATTAAAGGGGTTATATTTGTAGTCCTCATATCTCAAATGTTCCCTGAGGCCATATGTTGGCAGTATGTTAGTTATGGTAGATGAGAATACATGTAGAGAACATTCAGCGTGTGTATAAGTATTCAGGAGTAGGTATTTTAGGTATTTTTTTTTTTCCTACAAGGAAGTTGTCAGTATTGGAGAGAGTGGTGTGTGGTGCTTTTCTTTTTTTTCTTCTTCTTCTCCTCCTTCCTCTGGCCATTTATACTTGTTTCAAGCCAGGAGTTAAACGCTCAAAAATGAGTTGGCAAACTTCGTTTTAATCTAAGCATGAAATCTTTGTTTCTTGAAAACCCTCAAACTCACTGTCATGTGGGTTAGAGATGTTTAATGTCAACTGCTTTGTTGGAATCTTGTGTATCTTAATAGCTTGGAAAGGAAAACTGGAGTTATTCATGTAAGAATGAGTTCAAATACAGAAGCAAATTCTCCATGGTATTTTATTTTGTAGCTTACATATGTACAGAATCAGATATAGCAGTATGACAGTATTTGACAGATGTTTTTATGCATCATGCTGAGTAATAATGAAAAAGAAACCACTGCCATTATGATCTGAAATCATATTTTTACTGAGTTTAGCTAGAAAATATGCAGGGAAGCATTCATAATATATGGAACTACACCATATAAATATGTTGCTGTGTAAAGCTCTGGTGATTTATATGCTTCTCTAGAGGGTTAGTTTGATAACAGTATTTAAAATTTAAATAAACATTTTAGCAATGAATATAGTTCTTACATAGCTCGGATTGGATTTTTTTGTTTTGTTTTTATTTATTTTTGAAACCCTTATTATGAGAACTGCCTGCTTAAAGATATGTGGGAAAGCTTTTTATGTTATCAAGAATTTTTCCTTTTAGGTTTCTGCGTGGAATGAGCATTCCATGTGTCCTAGGCATGAACGAAGTGGCATGGCAGGAGACCAGAGGAATGATGCATGCGAACATAAGTCAGGAAGCCAGTGGGGTTGGAGTGGGGGTTGCCCCAGTTGGTGCAACATCAGGGCCCAATTCAGGTGGAAACAATCCTCACAGCATCCCTGCAGCTGCAGTGTCAGGTGCTTCCAGTGTCCAGGTATCCCTGAGTGGACGTTCCCAGGATGATGCCACAGTTGGATATTTCTTCCAGAGGCAGGCTGGTGAGCAGCTGAGTGGCTACTCCAGCAAACACCGCTGGCCCACAGGAGATAGCATTCATGTAGATCATTCGGTAGGTAGCTTGTTTGTTTTTCACTGAAACAATTCTTACATTTTCTTGAGTCTACATCTTTCAGAAAGATATGTCTGAGTTACTCTTTCAGAGCCTCTGATCCACAATCTAAGCATTCAGCTAAGTTGGATAAAGCAGTTGTAAATTAAACTGCGTACCATAATTTATTATGTTCAGTTTTAAACTTAATGGTTTTTATAAGCATTTCATATTTCTGGAAGGTACCTCGTTTTTGTTGGAATACCGTCAAATTATTATGTTTGAGTTTATGCAGTCAACTGTTTTAATTTGGAAAAGGGCTAGCTTCTGGTAGACTTCTTGAGGAATTAAGTGAATTTTGCACACAATCTTACTAGTTACACTTCCAGTAAAAGGTTTGTGTTAGACAGAAGTAGTATAGTCTAGCGTAGATCAAAACTTAACTTGCTGCTTTTGTAGATTCCTACCTAGAAAAATTCCGGTTCTGTGGTTTTACCCTCAAAACCTTTAATTGGGACAGTTTGCTATTTTTCTTTTAAAAAAATGAATTTTTGAAAATGATGTTTTTTCCCAGGAGTTTTGTGATGTGGCATACTTAGATTCATCATGAGCTCTTCTACCAAGCACAAGGAGTTACAGATGTTTCAGAAATGTAGTTAGTGGAGAAGCAAATGTGAATAAAGGTCATCTGGCTAATCTTAAAAGCAGGAAAACCTATTGACTGTTGTTTTGATTTATTTATTTTTATTTCTTTGGGCTTTTTTTATGTTCTACCCTTTCTTCTTCCTGCTCTGTTGAACTACAGGAAAAAAAATCTTTTTCTTTATGTGCTGCTTACTACTACATCATGTTTATTCTGTAATATAGTTCTGTAAATACTATTTTTTTTTTTTGCAATATTCTCCTTGTCCACTTGGGCACACACTTCATGGGTATTTGAAAATGCCTTTTTTTTTTTCCTCTGGACATTCAGTCTGTAAAACACAGGCAACTAGATGCTTATGTGCTGATTTTCCATTACAATTTCACAAGACTGATAAATTGTGTATATAAAATTATTCACAGACAAGTAACTGATGAGTAACAGTTGCATCTCTCTTCTGCCACCTGCTTTCCATCTCCAGTGGGAGTCAGTCACATCTTAATCAGTAGTCTTGTTTATATCCTTCAAAATATTTCTGCTTTTCTCCAGCAGGTAAATGTTATGAACCTAATATGTTTTTTATAGTAGCTTGAGTGGGGGATAGAGCAACCTTATTTTTTTTTGGATATATTTATTATGTTTTTAAGACTCAAGGAAGGAGGAACTTGCTTTATTTTGCTGGTCGCTCTCAAATGCAGTGTAATCAATATACTTTTATGTTCTTCATTTTTCACTGCTCTCCTGTTCTTCATTAGCTACTTCTACTAGCATTAGCTAATTCTGTTGAACTAATAGAATTTAAGTGTACATCAAGAGACTTCTTTTTCTGTTCTGTGATTTGAATGATCTCTGTGGGGTATTATTTCAGAGAATTTTGTTAAGGCGGAAATTATTTTATCCTTTTTTTTAAAGCAAAGACATTTCTTGAATTAGTATCAGGTTGAGGGACATTCACACAGCTATTTTTTTCAGTCTGTAGAAGGAAATAAAGTAACTACCATTCTCTAGTCATTGAATAGCTGGTCTCTGTATAGATGTCATATGTATAAAAGGTAGAATATTTTGATGCATTTAGAGAGAGATTACAAAAAGTACCTAAGCATATCTGAAACCTGTGAGTTTGTGATAAATTTTTAGTATGTCATAGCAAAATATGTGACAATGCCAAAACAACAAACAGTTTAGATTAAAAAAAAAAAAAGGCAGGATTAAAGTATTTCTTAGAACAGTGGAACTTTAGTTCCACTCATTCCAGTAGGTCTTTTAAATTCTATAGAAAGTAAAATGCAAAATGGAAAATTACAAGATTCTTCAAGCAAATAATCACATATACTTTTTTTTTTTTTTTCAATGTGTTAGAGCTGCTAGGAAAGTTGCGTAGTTGGCTCTAAATCAGACTAAAAAGCTGGCAAATAAACTTGATTCACTCAAGAAACGAAATCCTCAGAAGACAAGGGAAAAGCATACTATTGGTCTTCTGAAATCTAATTGCAATATCTTTGAAAAAAAACCAACAGCAAAACATGTCTTAAGCATAAGATAAGACAATATCTTTAGTAAATGATATTTTATTTAGTAGGATATTTAATTTTTGCTGTGATTTAGGGACTGAAGAAATGTTTTCCTTCATCAGTGGTCCTTATAAGGGCTTGTTGGTAAATGAACTGTGGAATCATCAGTTAAGTGTCAATAGTTAGAAAGCAATTCATATTTATAAATTGTGGCATTAAAGGCCAGTCTAGCATCAGGATTATCCTCGTGAATTATTCTACAGTACCATGATAGTGCTGATGCCTAATGTATGCTGACCTAGAAACAGTGAAGATGCAGTGGATTCAGATACCACTGATATTTAAGGGAAGAGAAAGGAACTTCAAAGACACAACATTTGAATGGAATTCTAATCAATGGAGATGGAAAAGTCCTTCTGATAAATGCATGCTTGTGTGACTTGGTGTCTAAATTTAACTAGCCACTCTGACACAAAACTAACATTGTTTATGGCTTACAGAATATACAAGGGTAACAGCCGCAGTCATAGAAATATATGTGGTGGTGTTAATGTTTATGTTCTGTGATCTAAGGTAGCTTCAGATACAGCAGCAGAAAATTACAGTGTTAGACAAGTTACTTGCATGGCAAAATTTTGTTTGAAAAGAATTGCCTTTGCTTCTACAGAATAACAGGTAGTAAGGGAGGTGCAGAGCATAGAGAAACATGAATTTGCATGGGAAACACTGTCCAAAAATATTTGGATGTTGAATTAACCGAAAGGTAACATGTATGTAACTGGTAAAAAGATTATGCCCACACAAATTCATGATACAAAGATGTCAAAGCCCAAGTTAGACTCTGAGTCAAGAAACCTCCGTTGTCACCCAGGATATTAAAGCAGCAGGCAGTCCTGTTTCTTAATCTAGAATTAACCATCTCAAGGCCTTGTCCATCTTCCTTTTAAATATTTAATATTGGAAACAGCTATGAAGAATACTGGACTAAGTAGAAAAAGTCACTCTTGGGTTTGACTTTTCCCTCTGCCCCACCTCACTGTCTCACGACCGCAAATACTATAGTCTGTGGTGGCACAGCAGTCTGCGGAAGACAACCATCCACTGTGGCATCACCCTCACATTGACGTCCTCATGTAGCTGCAGATGAGTTGGGGATCTTTTCATCATTATTTTGGTCAATTCTGTGTGAAGAAGCACATAAAACTTCAGTAAACAGCAGTCAACCTGTATTTTTTGGAGAGGAGATGAGGTTTTGACAAGTTCAAGATAAATATATCTTATTTATATCTATAATCTTATATCTATTATCTGAGGTTTTACAGTACGTAAAAATGCTCTTAGCATATGCTGTCGGAGCTGCAGCGGTTTGATGTTGCACCTGGTATTTGCCTTGTCCTCTTTCCTGACTTCTGCCTTCTATCGGAGTAAAGGGGTTTTAGCAGTTCAGCACTTCAATGTATTGGTTTTGAATTTGAGTGAAAATGTTCATTGCTTCTGCTCTGTGCCCTCCTCCAATAGAGGAAAAGGAGAAGAACTGCAAATGAAATTATTCAAGTCCTGCACATAAGTCTGCCAGAGCTTCTTTGTCAAGCAAGAAGCAAGAATTCACAAACTTGAGCAGAAGAATGCCAGAAAAATGCTGCATTTTTGGCAGCCTTTTGACAATTTCTTAAGGGTAGTGGTGGTATAAATGAAATAGTATAATTGTACAGAGCTTCAGTTAAGCTTCAATTGCTGTAACTCATCTATTTAAGAATTTACAAACTTCTGGAGAAGTTTTACAAATAGTTCCAGAAACAAAAGTCTTTGCGGGAATGGAGAGGACAAAATAAAGAGTCTTCCTGTGTTTGAAGAACTCTTCTGCATTTCTGTGGTGTGGAGAAGAAACTCTGTATCAGTTTTTTGCAAGTACTCAGCATGACTCCCATGAGAATCTATTAAAATTGATTTAGCTACAAGAAAATTCATGGATTTTATTAAACTAATAAAATGTGCAAATGTTTGACGTTTTTGCCTCCAGGATAAAATGGACAATTTCTAGTTTGTCTTGCTTTTAAACAATAAAGTTGTTTTAGTTTGACATTGTTCAAATAAGATGTGCTAATATATTGGTGAATTGAATTTGGGAAGTAATTTTCCCATATGAGACCTCATCGTCATGTAGCCATTCCTTGGAACAATGAAGACAAGCTCATCGTTCAAGATGGGAACAACATAATCTGTTTCCTGACCTTACAGTGGGAGTTGCGTTTCAATCATTAGTTTTTCCTTTAATAGATTCCACTTTAAATCATCACTAGAAATCTAAGCAAGCTTGTAGTCCTTGTCTTGTGGGTTGTTTTTATCATCTTTCAACCTGCATCTACTTGAAACAATTTTGAAAACTTAAATTGTGAAATGCATCTATTTTACAGATTTTTATTTTCAAAATAACTTTCTTAAATGAATATTTTCAGATTTTAAGCCATACTAGATCACAAAACGCATCAAAACTTTTTATTAGCAGTATATTAAACCTCAAATTCTGAGTAAATTCAGGTAAAAAGCTCATTTATGATTTCCTCTCCTTGTAAATTTAATATCAGGTTGAAACTCTCCTGGAGATCATTTATTTCTGAGTTAGTAGTCACCAGGTTCTAAAATAGCTGTTGCAAGTGTTGTTCTTTAAGTTTGTAGTTTTAATTCACCATTTTCTTCATTTCATTATAATAGCACTTAGCTCTCCTTGAGTAGAAAACTGGATTATGAATTTATACTTCAAACAGTTTTTCAATTTTGCAAGTAAATAAAACGTTTCAAACTTCACTAACTAGGAAAAGAAGTACTAGTCTGTGTGGGTATTTCTTTTAAATTGGGGGGAGGTGAAA